ATTTCTAATTTGAGGCTGTATTACGTCGATTCTGGCACCCAACATCACAACAAGATCATATTTTAAGCTCCTTATGTAGCCGAATCTGCGCTGGTTTGAATGGGCCGCCTCCAGTTTCCTCTTTGTTTTGCTGTCTCCAGCTAGCGCTGTGACGTCGGCTGACTCTAGTTATCTGTGGTTGGTCTGGCCGTGCGTCACTCAGAAAACAACAGGCCAATCAGAAGAGAGGCTCATGAATATTAATAAATCGCATGCGATATTTACTCCAGAAAGGTGTACAATATGGGACCTTTAAATGAGTAATTCAGCACTATTCCCAGCAGAATTACATTGTTTAACAAATTACTCTAATATCTGACGTTTTGTAAGCTTTTCTTTTCTAAAATGATGCAAGGTGGTTATGTTGTATCTTTTGTCTATGTATCTATATTGGAGCAGTAATGGGGTGAAAGAGGAGGCAGAGGTGCAGATTGATGATGGAAAGGAAGAGACTGAGGACCCAGCCACCATGTACCAGTAAGTAAGCTTATAATTTGTTGACATTGTGATGTTTTGAGATTAATATTCTAACGTTTCATCCTGTATTTGATTTGTTTTGCAGTCGTATCCGGAAAACTATAGCTCCTTTTGTGATGTCTTTTGGTTTTCGGTAAGTGGGATCATTTCATTTCAGAATGTCACATAAAGAGGCTCCCAGGACCTAAAAAATCCAATAAAAGTGTTTATGATCTTTGTTTTGTTTTTTTGTTCAAAAATAGATTTTAGACTATGTTTTTCTATGTTCTTCTCTTCTTATTTGCAGTGTTTTTGGCCTGGTACTAATCATTGTGGATATTATTCTGGTCATTGTGGACTTTTCTCTTTCCAACGGTAGTCACGATGTTAGAAGAGCAATGGAGTCTGTTTCGCTTGTCATCTCCTTCTTTTTCCTCATTGATGTGCTGCTCCGTGTATACGTGGAAGGGTTAGTAGGCTTTCAAAGTCATTTTGTGAATTTAGTCTTTCGTCTTGCATCATTTCATTTGAACGTCATTTACAAAACACTTTAGACTGAAAGTAACCAATAGCACTGTAGCGTTCATGTTTCACATGATGAGTTGCTCATCATAGGAAATGATTTGCAGGAAACACATTTCCGGTTTGTTTTTCCCAAATGAGTTTTTATCACTCTGGACCAAGTTTCCTAGAGCTCAAGCACAAAAATAAGTAAAATGGTCCACAAGCTCAGCGAAAGGTATTATTTTACATATTTAGGATCTATTCCTTAGCAATCTCTGATAAACCTTTCTTAAAGGGTTAGTTCACCCAAAAATGAAAATTAGGCTGTGTTTTACTCACCCCCGAGGCATCCTAGGTGTATATGACTTTCTTCTTTCAGATGAATCCAGTCGGAGTTATATTAAAAATTGTCCTGGCTATTCCAAGCTCTATCACTGCAGTCAGCGGGTGTTGCAGTGCTTCAGTCCAAAAGAATTTAAATAAAAAGCGCCCATCCATTAAAATAAAAGTGCCTCACACGGATCCGGGGGGTGAACAAAGGCCTCCTGTAGCGAATCTATGCGTTTTTGTAAGAAAAATATACATATTCAAGACGTAATGATCACTTGAATAAGTGACGTAATAATCACTTGACTTGCGCTCACTGTTGTAAACGGAAGCCGTTCCGGGCGGAAACAGCCTAATTTTCATTTTTGGGCGAACTAACCCTTTAAATCATCTTCTTTCTCAGATTCAAAGTGTATTTCAGCTCAATACTGAATATAATAGATGCTTGTATTGTGGTCGTTACCCTGGTGGTCACCATGATCTACGCATTCACCGATCTCTCCGGAGCTAGCCTGATTCCCAGGTACAGCAGATTTAACAGAACACATTCTCAACATGCTCCCATTTCACCCAATATTCTAGTAGTATAATGATATTAAAATGGTGTGTTTGCAGGGTGGTCACGTTCCTGAGATCTCTGAGGATATTGATTCTGGTACGTGTCTTCAGACTGGCCTCTCAGAAGAAAGAGCTTGAAAAGGTCACCAGGAGAATGGTGAGTGACACCAAGAAAATGTTGTTCATCACAGTGTGTGGTGTGGTCATTATAATAACTGCGATTGTGTCTACTTAGCCAATCAGGTAATGCGTGGGATTTCTGGCGTCTCTGCTGGCAGTGAATGAATTTGCCTTTTTTAATAACCACATCTGCTGTTTTTGTTCAGACAAAGTGAAAATCGAGCCGTATTTTGTGAATCATTCGATTGTGAATCGACAAGATAATGCATTATAAAAATGTGAACAATTAAGACAGTAAAATATATTTAAATGGTATTTAATTAATATAATAATTGATTGATAATAATTGTTTAATATAATAATTGATACTTCTGACTCTTTTTTTTTTTCTTAAAAATGATTTAAAGGCTGAAATGTGAAATTTATCATTTCATAAAACTTCTTGTTTTTGTGGAAAACCTGTATCTGAACTGTAAATCATGCTTTTTACATTCATACAGCCATTTTACAGTTTAAAATGTTACCATAGACATTGCTTAACCCTGCTCATACAGTATTCATTTAATTTGTGCAGGTCTTAAATAAGGGCTTAAAAAGTCTTAAATTTGAGCTTAAAAATCCTCAGATACCCTTTTTCAATCTGTTTGTGTTTCAAAGACGCATGTGCTGCATCTGTTTGATAAAAAAATACAGTAAAAAGAGCAATATTGTGAAATATTATTTAA